GTCTTTAGAAGGCTACTGTCTTCAGATCTGGTGCTGGAGCTCTGAAAGATGCACCTGTGTTTCCTTTTTGGCTCTTTGAGAATCTGGATATGCATACGTACCGTTTTCTCTTCCTCTTTTAAAAGCAGTGTGTTTTTACCTTTCTTTCCTCTGCATCTTCTCTCTTTTCCCCTCTTCTCATTCTGATCCCATCTTGATATTTTGCAACCAGAGGACTGAATGGTAAGTTTGATTGCCACAGAAGCACTCTATTTGTAAAAGAAGGAGGGGAGGCGAAGACACAGGATGGTGGTAGATAGCAGAATATAGAAGCCTAATATCATTTTTTTTAGTAGGATGAGTTACATTACAAGCTAGGATTCAGTTCCAGGGTGTGTGAATTGCCCTATAAGAAGAAATTCTTTTCATCTTGACCCGGTCCATTAGGACACAGAGCCCCAGCTAGGGTGTCAAGAAGACGAGGTCCCAGCCCTAGCTCTGTCACTATATTAATTCTTGACAAGTCTCTTCATTGATGGAGGGCATTTTGTTCAGTTCTCAAACAAGAGTTATGAGATATTAAGGTCATCTGAAACTTGATAGACCTGTAGTTCGAAGATAGCTATGACTCAAAACTATCAATGTACTGTTGATATAGATGTGAGGACTATTACTGGTCTACCCTGACAAAGAGTCTCTGCTTAGCCAAACTTTAATCAGGCTTCGAACCTTCTCCTAGGTCCATCTGTGTACTCCTAGGTCTAGTTTTAGCAAATAATCTCCCATTCTTCATACCTGATCACCCTTCATTTCTGATAAGGTTCCTCATCCTCCACTGTGTTGTAACCAAAAAGCAGGTCGGTTGCTCACCACATGCAGAATCCAAAAAACAAGAGTGAGGCTTGGTACAAAAATAGTTAATTTGTTCTGCAGTGAGCTTGGGGAAGGTGCACAAAACTCCTTGACTTTAAATGTGCTGCTTCACCTCTGGAGACACTTTTACAAGGTAAGGGGGAAACTGAGCGAGGGCAGGAGTTCCTCCTGCAAGCTTGGTGTCTTATCCACCAGACAGTTGAGTCGATACCTTCCTGGGCAGAAATAAGTTGGAAAAGGAGTCAAGCTGGCATGCTATTGATATGCCCTTCCGGTGGACAAAAGTCTTGAGGCAATTCCCAGAGGATGGAAGTTCCAGGCCACGTGCTGGAGGTGACAGTTCCCTGGCGGGTATGCTTTGGCCTGCAAATCCGCTGTCAGCTCTGGAGAAGAGATCTATCTGGGAGCACACAGTTAGAAGAACTTGCCCTGCAGGGAATGTCTGGTGAGGGGGAAGTGAAAGGTTATATTTGCATTCCTAAAGGGCTAGGTAGGAAACAGGGAAAGGAGAGAGAAGAGAAAATAATAAAAAATAATAATAACTCATTCTCTTTTTCCTAGGAAAAAAATGGGGGCACTCAGTTCAAATGTCCCTGGTGATGTATGTTCACCCTGGCCTATCTTCAGCAAGAGACCTTGAGGTCAGTGTAGCCAGGATGCCCCTTACCTCGATGTTCCTTTTAGTAATTTTCCATCCACTGACCCCCACCCTGTTCCTTGGCTATATATTTCCACTTGCCCATACTATGTTCAGAGTTTAGCCCAATCTTTCTCCCCAACAGCCAGACCCCTTTGAGGTGGTCTCCATACCTTTCACAGTGGTCTTTAATAAAGTCCTCCTTATCTTGCTTTAACACATATCACCGATTAATTTTTTTTCCCTTAACATCCCTTAGATTCTTACTCCAAGAAACCTCTCTATTAACGCTGAATGAGTTCATGGTCTGTGCAAAATTTAGTTCTTAGACGTGCATAATGTTTAAAATGTGTAACATTTCATTGGTTTTTAAGAAGGGGTTTTAGACTTACAGTTGGCCACAATGCTTCAGATGTTCTGGGAGTTCACGTCAAGTCCAAGAATGAGGTTGCCACAGGAAGACCTGATTCAGGGAGATTAGCAACCAGCCCCATTTTCACTATTTTTTTTTTTCATTTTTGTACAAAATCCTTTCACTCCCACCCTCTGACCAGACTGGCTTTTTTACTTTCCCTAGAGCAGTGGATGTGGCTAGAGGCTTTACTTTGTAAGCGTTTACATGGTCCTTACAATGAAAATCAAGTCTGGTCTTTGTGTCTGGACCCCTAAGACCCAGCTCCGTGCCTAGAAGGCAGCAAACCCCCAATATTTGTGTGTTGAATGCATGAGAGGTCAACAGTGGGGTCAAGTATGCATTCATGTCAATAATGAAGACCTGATTAGCAGATCAAATAAATACTTCAATCATCCTCAGAAAAAAAGAATAACAATCCTAGACTCATCACATTATAACATTAAATTTTTATGAGTAAAAAATGGGCGTTGTAAAAAACAGGAAAATACAAAAAAAATTAAAACATCCATAATTTCGCCATCTAGTGAACATTTCTGTGTTTATATTTTATGTATAATTCTTTTCAAAATAGAGATTTTCTTACATTTTTATTTAGCATTGTATTGTTAAATTATTAAATATTTTCAAGAAGGGTTTGTAGTGACTGTGTTATTATTCCATCAAAGTATATTTATTAGACCAAATGTACCTCCTATCCTGATTCTATACATGAAAAAACACACTAAAAAAATGGTGTGAACTGCCCGGCATCCCTCCCACAGCCAGGAAGAGGATAAAGGTAGATTCTGAGCTCAGATATTCTGAGAATCCAGAACTGCCTTCCTCTTGAGTGTGTCTCTAACTTTATAATGGCTCTTATGAATGGCTGATTTAAGTCACTCTTCCCTAATTTTATTCAGATGCTTTTATATACCCTACCCCCACTAAAATACAAGATTCTTGAGACCAGGGTCTTTTATTTCTCGGTGTTCTATTCCCTCCTCTTCCCACCACATATCCCTGTCCAGCATCTAACAGAACACCTAAAGCTTTCACACTGGGTGACCTTAAATCCTGTTTGGCAGGGTTTGAATTTCAAAAGCCCCATTAAAGCTCCCCATTTCCTTTGTAACAAACATTTTGCCCAAAGACTACTCAGGGACTGAGGACAAAAAGCAAACACTTGCTTCTTTAGAAAGATGTTCCTCCATGTATACAGAGAATTGCAAGAAAAAAAGAAAGGGAGGGTAGGAAAGGAGCAAATCAAATCATCTTTTCTTCTGATTCCTGTCTCCAAGAGGACTGGTCAGGCTGCAGCAGCAGCCTGACCCCAAGAGGGACATGTGGTCAGCTGAGCAGACAGTGGAGTATGTACGGGGGTGGGTGGGGAGGAGAGGTCCCCACAGAATTTTGAGCCGGAAGAGGACAATGAAGGCCACTGGGAGGTGGTTTTTATCTCTCAATTTGATGTACCCTGATTTATGAAGTGATAGCCAGGAGCCCAAACCATCAGTTGTTGGATGTGCATGGGAGACAGGGGGTGGGGGGCTGCCCCTACTTCTGTCTCTGGGACCTTCCCACCCAGTACTGTGGGCCTCCTTGTCTCTGAGCAGCAGCCCAGCCCTGCTATGTTATAAACTGAAATGTCTACCACCACCTTTCCTTGTCATTATCTTAAACAGTTCATAGAGATGAACGTCTACAATGTTAGTTAAGAATTTTGGTATTTTTGCTAAATATAAACAACTTTGGTTTATAATATTCATACAATCAGCCTACGCTGATGAAGAATACTTACAACGCACTCTTATATCAGAGGTGGAGTTGTTACATAGTAGTACAGGATAGAAAAATGAAGGGCCTTCAGTCCATTGAGAATTTCCCCCAAACTCTCTCTGGGACTCTGCCTAACACAGGCTCTCCATGGCGAAAGTCTCATTCCATTCAGACGTGACCTGGAACGTACCATTTCCCTTTGTGCTGCTTTATCAGGCAGAGGCAGCCACAGAGAACTGGGCAAATATTAGTGCTAAACTGTGAAGTAACTAATTTTTCCCTTACCTTGGCTGCTAAGCAAATGAACAAACCTTATTCCTGTGTTTAAAAAATATATAAAAGTTTGCCTTAAAATAAGCACTGACCCCCCCACCCCCCGCCCAAAGGCACTCAACCAGTGCATGGAAAAGTGTGTGGAATGTGCTCACATCCTGTGTAAGTTAGAGGGAATTTTCTCTGAGTATTCTGTCCACAGGATGTAGCCTTGCCTGGCCTTGGGTTGATTAACTAAAAGGCCAGATGGAGACACAGTCCCCAAATAGCACTGCATAACCTTCAACAATTCTTTAATGTTCTTGACTGTTAGGCATGGCAAAATAAGAACTTACCTAGTGATCAAAAACAGCTGAAGAGCAATTATAAAGGAGAAAAATCATCATACTGGAGGCATAGAGACAGCTCCTAGGCAAACTGCTTTCGAGAAACCCATCCTATTCTGGGTTTGAACAGCTCACCCAATATTTGCTTCTGCCATAGTATCTTAGTCATAAGATAGGAGCCCTTTGCTGGTCCTCAGTTTCCCTCCCTGTGAAGAAGATGGATGTGCCCCATTTCTTCTTTTGTCCTATTTATTTTTGGAAGCTCTTGGGGAACATGTATTCAGAGATTTCTCAGTGGGCTTCCATGTCTTCCATCAGGACAGGAGAATTATTAATCCCAGTGGCTTTTATTTGCCAATGTGGGACTTTCAGAGACTTACAGAAGAGACAGGCAAACAACACAAATGGAGAGAAACCCAAATGGAAACATGCATTATATATGAAAACAAGTATTCAGACATGTGCACCTGGCCCTCTGCCACTCCCCATGCACATACACAGAATCACACAACTCTACAAATACACACGCAGGCAGTTGTGAACAGACAAAAATATATGCAGGGCTATTTACACAGCCACACCTGAAATCCAACAGACCCACACCTACTCTTGAATATTCTCCATCACAATTTCCCACTATAAGATTAGAGATCAAGCCAACCTTGACCTCTTTCCTACTCCCAGCCCTCTTCTTCACCAAGGTTATGAGTGCAGTCATGGGATCCAAGGATCCAAACACACATGTTTGTTGAGATGTTTATTAAAATTCCAGGTGTGGGGAACATGGAGAATAAGAGAGTCCCTCCAGTGGGGGGTTCAGGTCTAGCAGGGGAAGGAGATGCACACAAAGCTACAAAGTCACATGGGAAGTGCTCTAACTGAAGTGAGCACAGGAAGTTGGACCTATTTCTTTGATCCTGAGATCTGGACAGAAGACAATCCTCCTCCTTGCTTCAGAGGATACAATGGAAACCCAGAGGAATCTGCTTGGCACCAGTAAGCTGGAAGCCACGCTGCCTTCCACCCAGTTCTCTGTGGGGACGCTGTGCTGGTTTCAGTCCCTGGGTCCTGCCCTTACTTCAGCCTGTCTTGCTTGCCCCTCAGGTGTGTCTGGTGGTAGAAGTTGAGGAAGAGAATGAGGAAGCTGAGGGCTTACAGGAGCACAGACGTATTGAACCCATCAGGGAAGGGGCACTCGGTGAGGAGACTGTAACAAGAGGGGGCAGCAGTGGCCACAAACTGACCCTGGGCAAAAGAAAGCATGAGAAGAAAGAGAGGGGAGAGCAGTCAGTTCTTTCCACCCCATGATCCCAAGAATCTTCTTGACCCTTCTCCTGGTCCTGGTTGCCCCAATTCCCCCATCCAGCCATGTCATGGTGGTCCTGATGATAAACTCAGTATATCCAGAGCCCCATCTGGGACACTTTAGGCTGTCATCACCACTGGGGGGCAGTGGTGTTCCCAAAACTGCAAGACATCAGGCACCTGGAGGGTGAAATCAGTGATCACAGACTCACAGGATATTAATGTTTAGAGGTCGGTCATCTGGCCGAGGCCCTCATTTTATAGATAATGACATTGAGACCTGAGCATGGAAGCCACTTGCTCAAAGTCCCACACTGTGCCAGTGAGTTAGGGTTGGTTCCGGGATCATAAGATGGCTACTGAGGTCCTTGCAAGTTGGGAAGCTAAGGAAGATCTAAGGATGAGAGAGCTTGTTTATGGGCAGATGCCAAGTCACTGGTATAGAGTGACAAGTCAAGAATAGAACCAAGGGTTCAGCCAAGGCCCCTGGAGCCAATAGGATCTCCTTACCAGCTGTAGGGTGGTAAGATATCGTTTCCACCAGAAGTAGGGCCACATAGGAGTCCACAACCTGGCCAGTCCATAATACAGATACATGAAGACATGGATCAAAGAATTAAGCATCCCTATGAAGAAGGCTGCAGAGTGGGGTGTGGGGAGATAAAGGAAAATAAGTGGAGCTGGGCTTAGCTGTGGCGTGGGAGTTCTCTTTGATGTTTCAATCCTCCAAGCTGCAGAGAGCACCTCTGCAATCTCTACAGAAAATCCCTGGAGAGACCTTATCCTGCAGAGGTCCGGCATGAGCCATCTGAAGTCGTGATGATGGAGGGCTGGAGTTATTGAGATGCTAAATGAGAATATTTCTACTCCCTTTGTGTTCTGTGGGCTGATGGCTATGATGAGCATCTCCCAGCAGCCACCTCCCCATCCCAGAGATGGGTAGCCCAGGAGCTCTAAGGAGCCACATGGACAAATGGGAGCAGAGGTCTGGTCTCATGGCCTCAGGGAAGGGAAAAGTTAGAGATCAGCCATAATATTCCAGGGATGCAGGTCTCCTGAGCTGGGACTCAGCCCAGCAGACCTGCCTTACAAGGGCCTGGGGCAGGGCTGTCCACAGCATGCATCACTTACCTGGCTGCCTGCTACGTATTTGACTCCAGCCCACCCATCAGAGGGCATGGTGCCATGATGGTAGAGATGCAGGAAGGTGGGCTGCTCTGGCTTCATTCATAAAATAAAGAACACCTGGAGAGGAGGAAGAGATGGAGTCATCTCTGGAGGTCTCCTTCCTCTAGACTTCTCTCGGGACCTCAACTACCCCTTAGAGTGGGATGGGCTAATTCTACCTGTTTTACTGAAGGAGCGACTAAAACTAAAGGGAAATAACAACAGTCAAACACCAATCTATGACCTACCGCGTGCTTTAATTGAGGCCTTTGAAATTCAAACCCTCGCAGGATCTAAGGTCTCATAGTGTGAAAGCTTCAGGTGGTCTTCTAGATGCTGGGCAGGGATGTGTGGTGGGAAGAGGAGGGAAGAGAACACTATTCTACTTTGTGTGTATAAAATAATCACTGAAATACCACATAATTGTATGCAGTTTATACTTCTACTACTTCCATTTTTCAGGATAAAAAAGGCACAGAAAGGCTAAGTAACTTGCCCAAAGGCACACAACTTATAGGTGGCCAAACTGGGATCAGAACAGTCTGGCTTCAGAGACTGGGTTCTTTCCAATGTCCGATCCTTGCCCCCGCCCAGGGCACCGGGGTAAGAATTCAGGTGTTGAACCGTCAGCCCAAGATCCAGACACCCACACCACACATTCCCACGTGATCTCTGCTCAGCTCATTTTGGCAAGAGACTGAGAAGAAAGAGCCCCCTCTTTTCATCACCAACCACACCAACATTATGCTCTTGCCCCACCCTGCTTAATCCCACAAGCCCCCTGGCCTCACCAGCAAGGTTTCTTCTCATTAACATGGAAGGATGGCTTTTGTTGTCTGATGACCCTTGCTATATCATGTCAGTTTTAAAGTTTGTTTAATTTTCCATTTTAATTGTACCTGGAACCTGGCTACTCATGGAGCAAATGCTTACACCTACTTCTGCAGATAGAAAGCAGGGACCATGGGAGCCAGTGGAGGGGGACACTACCTCAGTGGCTGGGCGTCCTCCCTCAGCCAGGTACCGGACCAAGGCTTTACTCTGAAATTAGTCTCTGGCATGGCTGCCTGGGCAAACCCAGAGAGCATTCTTGCTGGGAGAGTCAGACACCGCCCCAGATTTGGCTGACGGATATACAGGAGCCCATGTATCCGGGATCTTACCTGTCAAGCAATTCAACGGCCTTTGGAAAGAGGCACCAGCAGCACACGCTCGCCATCTGCTGGGCAGGACGGGGAAGTTCCATCAGATTGCAGTCCGGCTGGTGCCACAGCTTGTCCCACCTGGGCTGAGTTCAGCCCCAAATCCTCACTGTTCTATGCACCGCTGATTCCACAGTGCCTACCTGTCTGCAGAAAGATGCCTGTTCGCACAGGCAAAAAGGGGAGAAGCTATTGGCGTGACCACAGAAGGACTCCCCAAATGTGCCCCAGCCCAGAACCCTGGAATCTAATGAGCATGTGGGCATCTTGTTTGTTGAAAGAAGATTCTTCATCAGTGTGCCTGGGGTGGAGTACAGATTCTGCATTTCCAACCAGCTCCCAGATGATGCTGATGCTGCCGGCCCAAGGATCATACTTTGAGTCACAGGACTTGAGCCCATCACCAACATCCAATGACTCAACATCCATATCACCCGGTGACAAGCCTCAGCTACCTGGTGACAGGTTTCAGCTGGAGTCTTCTGTTACAGGAAGCCTTTTGTTCTGCTTCTAGTTGAAACAGAGAACAGCTAACAGTGATGAAATCACTACTTAGCTACCACTCAGTGTGTGCTGGCCCCTGTGCTAAACATTTCCATATATGTCTATCATATATTATCTGATTCCATCTTCTTTCAATCATTTCCCTTTATCAAATAGGTGTTATTATCTCAATTTTATAAATAAGAAAATTGAGTCCTAGAAGAGTTAGGTGTGCCACCGAGTCGCACAGCAAGTAACTGGCAGAGCTGAGATTCAAACCGAGGTCCGAGGTTATCTGACTCTAAAGCCTGCACATAACCAGCCAGTCCCCTGTCTCTCATCAAAAGGCTCAGGTGATACCTCCTTGACCTCTGATTGTTATGAAGTTGTCCCTCCTAACCCTCTCCAGGCTTGCTTCCTGCTCCCTGCCATACCCTCATTCCATGCTCACTCCATCTGTAGTCCACTGGCTGGCAGAAGTAGCTGCAGTTAGCCAGCAGCGGGGTGGCCATGACCTGAGAGGAAGAAGAAAGAGGAAAAGACCGAGTCACAAAGCCTGTTCCCACCATGGTGAACCCCGACTGGCTCGGGCTCCTGAACACCACCACCCCAATGCAACCTCTGCTGACACTTGGTGAACAACTGCTAATAAACTCCATGGAGTGGTGAGATCAGAGGCGCAACTTGTACGCATCTTGCTGGTCTCTAATTTTTTAATGTGGGCAAATATAGGCTACAACGCCACCCTGGGTGCCTACTATGCATGAAAGCCTGAGATAGGTGCTGAGGACAACAAGGCGGTCCACACGTCTGCCCTGCCCCAAGGAGCTCAAAGCCTGGCTGAGGATGTGGAAAAAAATTCTAACCTTTCAGGTTGGTGCTAGAGGAAGAGTAGGAAGTAGCAGGTGTTCCAGGAGTCGGATCAAAGAATGAGGAGGCTTTGGGCAGACAGAGGAGAGGGAGTGGGAGTTTCATGCCGGGACAAGTGTATGTGGTACCTGGACCTGGGGGCCTAACTAGGAGATTAGCGGGACTGGTGTGGAGGCTCTGACCAAAGGAGAAGCAGGCCACAGAATTGGAGAGACCGAATTGTGAATAAAGGGTCTTGAAGGCTGTTGTAAGAAGCCTGAATTTTATCATGTATTGATTTATTTGACAATAACGTGTTGAATGGTACTAAGCACTTCTCCATGCTGGGCGCTGTTCTGAGCACTGGATCACGTTGATAAAACCAAACAGATAGAAATCTCTACCTTGGGGGACTTGGCATTCTGGCCACATATGCAAAAGGACCTACTGAGGTTTCTGAGCAGGAAGCTGACTGTGAGCGTGGCAGAGTTTTCAAGGGATTGGGGTGGCAGGAGAGTGCCTAGTTGCCATAATTAAATGACAAATTCTCTAGGGCGTGCCTCACGTCTCATGAGTTATTGGTAGCCCTCATGTGCTACCAGATAGTATGCTGGGTCTGTCTTTAAACAGATAAATAAGACAGGGTTCCTGCCTTTGAAGCACTTGCTGTTTGGGAGGGAAGAAAGGCACATATGAAAGTGGTGACACAGCTGGAGAAAGACCACAGTGGGTGGGGGGTCAGTATATCCTTAATAGGCTCCTAACGTGGGGGAGGTGTCTGCACGGTTTGCCAATTCCTGTGGTGTAAATACTCCCACCATGGTGGAGGGACTTCAAGTTATTTCACACAAAGTCACTGAACATGAAGTTGCGGGGAGACCCACACCTGGTGCTCACCCGTGGGTGGAGTGGCTCCAGCCCATCTCAGAGAGTCCAGGACTGTACCAAGAGCTGGGAATGGCCAAGCAAGGAAACAAATAACCTGGCCTTAGAGGAGTCAGGGAAGGCTTCCTGTGAGGCGACAACTGACCTGAATCTAAAGGATGTGCAGGAATTTGTCAGGAGACTAGGGGACAAGAGCAATTCTGGCAGAAAATCAGTGATGTGCCCAGGCCTGAGGACTTGCTGAGCATGGCTGTGTGGGCTGGCGAGCAGGCCTGTGCTGGATGAGGGTGGTGTGCAGGGCTGCTGAGAGCCTGTAGAGGGAGACGAGGTGGAGAGGAAGACAGGGCCAGAGAGGACTCCAGAGGGCTTCGTGTGCCCATGAAGGGGTTTAGCCTCAGCCTCTGCGGGATGGGAAGCATCAGAGGCTCCCAGCAGGCCATGGCACCACCCTCCCTGTGCTTATGGTGGCTGAGAAAGGAAGAGACGAAGAGGAGTTGGAAGAGGTGTGGCTGTCCGGACCTGCTTCTTCCATCTCCTCCCCGCTAGCTCACCAAAAGGCGGAAGAGATGGAGGAGGAGGCTGTAAGCGGTGCAGTCAGGGGGCCTGGTTTGCACTCTGCCTCTGTGCCTTGCCACCTGCTAAGCTACTTAACCCCTCTGCGTCTGAAACAGTGCTATCATGAGGATTAGATGAGCAGATCCTCATAAAGTGCCTGCACCAATGCCTCTCCTGTACTCGGCATGGGAACACATCTGTGATGATCATTACCACCTCTGAAAAGCTTTTCCTGACATCCTAACCCCTGGCCCAGACACTGGGTTTCTGCCCCACCCTCCCTGCCCCTGGTGCATGATGCATCCTCTCTGTTGCCCACCCAACACACACTGCATTGCAACCGCCTGTGCCTACACCTGTCTCCACTCTAGACTGTGAGCCTCGGGAGGGCAGGGAGGCCTTATCCAACAGGGATGCTGCAGGCCACAGCACAGCCTGGTATGAAGCATATATTGGATATACACCTGCTGAATGGCTGTTTGCAAGGTTTGGAAGGAATACCAGATTTGGGGATCAGAAAACCAGGCAGAGATGAACAGAGCCCGGGTAGAAACGGGAGATGGGGGATCCACATGAGGTGGGAGGGATAAGGAATTCCACTCTGGTTTGCCATGACCTGTGCTCTCTCATGTAAGGAAATGAAGGGTGGAAGTTTGTAACAAGGATTGAGCAGCCAAAGAGGGCACAGAATCCCAGCTCCTGCGTGTGACCCCATCAAGAAGGCTTTTCAATTTTCTACGTAGGAATATTATGCTTCTATTTATCCCTTGGTCACCCCTCCAAAAAAGATCCTAGAACTCTCCAGGAACCCCCGCCCACCAGCCTTACCTCCCAGAGGCACCCTAGGAGAACCACCAGGCCCAGGTTGTAGGCAGCGAGTGCTGTGCCAGCCCCAGAGGCTCCTGTTGGGACATGAAGCAAGGCCTGGCGCCACCAGGAGAAGATAGAAGACATGGAGGAGGGTGGCAGGGAGTGGCAATGCACCAGGAGCCAGGAATCCATCCTCAAGCCTGGATAAGCAGAGGAGAAGTGACCGCCGGCCCAGCCACACTGCCCATTCACCCCCAGGCCCTCCCCACAGGAACTCCCAAGGCCTTGTTCATCCAGCCCTTGTTCCCAGAAAGCCTGACACAGAGGTTGGCTGAGGAAACAAATGAACGCTCCCACTGGATGGCATTATCCTCCCCCTCTGCTTTCTAAGGCCCAGGTGTATTTATTCCCGAGCTTTTCCAGGGCACTGGCCATTGTGAGCACCAGTATGTAGAAGCAGGATTTGGGTCTTGTCCAGAGAACCGCCTCATCTACTTCCCCTTCCCCTCCTCGGCAACACGGTTGACTGAGAGTCCACAAACTAAAGTTCCTCAGTCTCTCCCATATGACCCCCAGCTATGGGGTTACCCCAGCACTCCTGCCTTTGGACACTGGACCACCACCTACCAAGCACTTTGGGGAGCCTCCATTGGCCATTAACTTTGTGCTACTCCTCATACCTTTTGCTGCTCTACGTGGGATTTTCAGCTTCTGGCGGTGGCTTCCAGATTGCAGAGTGCAAGAGACATGGATGCGGCTACTATGCAGCAAGAGGGGGACAGAGGGGCAGAGAGGCCCGAACGCTTCCCCTTTCCCTCCTCTCTCGCTGCACGGTGCCTGCCCCTCCTAAGCATCCCTGGCTCCTCCCACTTCTCACGGGGCTCAGCCTCACCCAGTCCTCTACAGCTTGACTTACACCTCCGGCTTCTCCCAGGCTCCTCTGGGCAGCGAAGAAAGTGGCTCTGGCTGCTCCCGTGTTGTCAGCTGGCGGTGGGTTTGAGCGAAGGGTCCTCTGGGCTCCAGGGTGCAGGGCGTGACCCATGGGTGACCCCATCCTCCCAGAAGCTCTCTACTCCTGTGCTGTGATCTGTTGTTGACCCCAACCCCAGCCTCTACACACATGCGCACACACACAGGCACTCACACATACACACGCACGCCACATGCACACATGCATACACACACAGTTATTGAGAACAGGGAGCTGAGGCCGCCGTCCAGGCCCTGGCTGGGCTCCCTGCCATTCTCATGGCCCAAGGGAGAAACAGAACAAGAGGCAGTGGGGGTGGGAGGAGAGCACTCCAAGGGCAAAGACAATGGTAGCAGCTCTGGAGAGGGGATCGGGAGCACCCACAACCTCAGAGCCTCCCCATGGCCTGTGGCCCACACTCTTCCTTCAGAGCAAGGACCACCCTATCAGAGACTTGGATGGGCATGTAGAGGACACGTGTCTCTCCTGCCTCCACCAGGATAGGCCACTCCTCGTGCCTCAGATTTCGATCTTCCTCTTCCATCCCTCTTTCCTACTGTTAAGGAGTAAGCGTTTATCTTTCTTAATCTGCTAAGTCTGCACCCCTCCTCTAGCTCCCCCTCAACAACAGGCCAAGGAGTATGGGGGATTGAGAACCCCAGATCCAGGCAGCCCTCTTCCCCACACCTGCCTCTATCCACCTGTGTTGATAGGAGGCAGTTACAATGGCCATTCGTCCAAATAACCTATCTTAGGCACATCCTTTCCCTCTTTATGAGATAAAGGAAAAGAACTAACTTTAGAAGCCAGATCCCTGAAGCAAGGGGCCTGGCAGTAAGACTCTGGGTCTTACTCCACAGTGGAGTAAGAAGTCCTAGAACCAGCCTCTTTAGAATAGAGTGCCCCAGTTTCTCCTTCTGACAAGACGGCACACTGTGGTCTTGTCTGTGTAAGCCCCGGATTGTCCATGCTCACAGACAACAGGGTTAAGAGATCTGAAGAACTAGAAGAGGTAAAGGTAGGTTAGAAGCATGGTGGGCCACACACACTAGCTACACGCGTGTACATTTGCACATGCTACCAAAGGCCCTCGTTCTGCCCTGCCCTTGACTCTATCGGGAAAAATTCCCAGCTGGTTTCAGTTAGAAGATAAGCTCTCCTACACTGTCATATCTAATTTTCCATAGAATCCAGTTGAAATTATTCCACTAGGGCTTCAAGGCTGCCCGTACTGTAGCCAGACCACCCCCCCGATATCCCCTCTGATTTTCTGTCAGAAGCAGAGATCAATGTGCTGCCTCTGCCACCTCCATGAACCCGGTCTCCCTGCCCTCTCTGACATGCACACATCCATGTCTACTTCTCTGGCTTTTCCACACTTCCTTCTCCACTGACTGTTCAAACCCAGCCATCATCCTTGCTGCCCTGAAGCCCCTCCTCAGCCACAAAGCCTCCCAGTCCTCTTTCCCAACTCCCCACAGGACTAGCACGGTCTGTACCCAGAGTGTAGCCCGTAAGTTTGGTCTTCCAGAGTAAATGGTAAACTCCCTGTGGGACATGACCACTCACTGCACTTCACAAATTGATGGAAACATCGGGAAAACCCTAGGGCGATGTGTCAGGAAAATGAAAACTATCTAGCTCAAAGCTTTGGCCGTCACTCTGCTGGTAACTCTCCCCTGTGTCTTCATAAAACCATCCCTCATGTGCAGACAGCACCTTACAACCGATATGGGAAACTCTTGGGAAGTACCCTATATAGCACCTGAGACGCTGGGTGCCACCTTATTCCCCGGAAGCAGCTCAGATCAAGAGAATGGGGCTGTGAATTTTAGGCCAGTTGCACCACAGCCAAGTGCTCTTTCTCTGAGCTCAGCCACCTCACACAGCTGCTGGGAAGGAGAAGGCCACTGACCCCCTGCGACCGCCTCCTATTATAGGCCCTTTGGGCTTATAGATCAGATAGATTAGGGAGAAGTTTGTCTACCAACATCCTGCAGCTGTAAAATAAGATCATGACTGCATGCTACCATAGATTCCTTCTGACCCAAGCAAAACAACAAAAGGACTCCAAACCTCATTCCTTTCCCTCCTCAGCCCACCACACTCACAGAACCCTGGCTGCAGCTCAGTCATCTGCTCCCACTGCTGGGTGAGCTAAGCCATCGTGAGGCCCTGAGATGAGACAGGCTGGCTCACCTGAGGGCAGAGGGCTGGCAATTGTGTGGGCAAAAACTGACATTGCAAGGAGTAGTGTATCTATATACCCACAACATAGTGACAGCTGACATTTATTCCCAGACCGTGTGCCAAACACCATTCTAAACACCGTACGCATGCTAACACATTTTCTCCTCGCAACAATCCCATGAGGTAGGTACTATTAGCACCTATTTCTGCAGATGGGAAAACAGGCACAGAGAAGTTAAGTAACTTATCCAGTATCACAGCAATAAGTAGCAGGGCCAGGATTCAAACCCAGACAGTTTGGTTTGGAGCCCAGACACTTAAAAGTGCATTGTACTATCTCTTCAGTCTCTTAGTGTATCGTGGTTTTTTTATTGGAATGAAAAGAGCCAAAAGAGTGGTCTCGATGAACAAGAAGAGGAAGCCCCAATTTATCCGATTCAAAACAACTTCCCTACTGGCTTCCACAAGAATCCTGCGCAAGTCGCAGTAAAAACCAACATTCTTTCCTGCCTCCCTTCATTCCTCTATTTCTTCCCTCCCTCCCTCCTTCCTTTCTGATGTCCATCCTTTCGCCTAGATCGGACAAGGGATTTTCAGACGTTTGAGATTCCGAGCAAAGGTGCCTCATCAGGCCTCACCAGTATCTGCGTGGGGAAAGAGAAGCCCTAAGAAAATGGTCAGCCGTTCCCCCTCTGAAACAATGACCCAGCGCCCTGCTTTCTGTGTGCTTGTGCAAGATTTAATTGGACTAGAAGAGTACCACTGCTTTTTATAAGTCATTGAACATGGCTGGTATAGATAGTGAAGATGAAGCTGGATAATTTGGGCTGTGACACTTTGTCGTGTACTGGCAGGAGTGCTGGCCTCCTCTGCCATCTTCCGAGAGGGACGTAGCGGTCATAATGGGATCTTTCCTTTCTCCACTGGAGGGGCGTTATCCAGGGTACTGCCCTCTGCCCCCACAGGTCCTTTATATCAGGACCGCGGACAATATATTTCTCACTGTCAAAATTAGGAAGGGCCCTACCTCTCAGGGCCAAATTAGTAGGCTTTCGAGTCATAATAGAGAGATTTTCAGGTGCTAATCTCATCTTTAATTTTATTATATTTTTTACATATTATGTTCCTCTGACATAATTTAGTTTATCCTTCTGTTTCATTATTATTGGAAGTAGCCTGGAAATTTTTACTGAGTGACATGCAGAGGTTGTCAACATAAATAAATACGCATGTATTAAAGCAGTTTTCAAGCATCTATCTTTTGCTGTGGATTAAATGACTTATGCAGAGTCACAACCAGTTAAAGGAGTGAAGCCAGGTTAAAGCACAGACCACCCACCCTGTTACACAGCCTCTAAAACCTGCCTTTGTGCACAGTCATTGCACACTTGGTACTGCTCATTTCGCAGGAGTCCCTTAACCACATGTTACTCTAGTCTCTTTAAGCTGAAACACATTTCTCAGTCACAACTCTGGGCAGCTATTTCCCAAACTGAAGAGCTTATTCCTGAATGTCATCGTCCGGAAGACAAGATGAAATGTGTATGTGCAAGTGTGTGTGTGCGTACACATTCCTGTGTGTGTTAACACAATGTCCTTCAAATTACTTTCTCTATTTATGTCTCTATTTACCTTGATCAGTTCTACTTGCCCCAGTTACGCCCATTTCTGTCTACTTTTCTTGCTCGTGTTCTCCCTTTCTTTGAACATCACACACTGGGTCCTATTGTGGGGAGGGGGTATCGGGGAGGGATAGCGTTAGGAGATACACCTAATGTAAATGATGAGTTAATGGGTGCAGCACAGCAACATGGCACATGTATACATATGTAACAAACCTGCACGTTGTGCACGTGTACCCTAGAACTTAAAGTATAATAATAATAAAAAAATCGGCCTGGTGCGGTGGCTCAAGCCTGTAATCCCAGCACTTTGGGAGGCCGAGACGGGCAAATCACAAGATCAGGAGATCGAGACCATCCTGGCTAACACGGTGAAACCCAGTCTCTACTAAAAATACAAAAAAAAAAAAAAAAAAAAAAAAAAAAAAAAAAAAAACCAGCCAGGTGAGGTGGCAGGCGCCTGTAGTCCCAGCTACTCAGGAGGCTGAGGCAGGAGAATGGCCTGAACCTGGGAGGCGGAGCTTGCAGTGAGCTGAGATCAGGCCACTGCACTCTAGCCTGGGTGACAGAGCGAGACTCGGTCTCAAAAAAAAGTAAAAATAAAATAAAAGAAAAGAAAAGAAAAAGAAAAAGAAAAGAAAAGAAAAGGAAAGAAAAGCGGCAGGAATGAGAACTAGAGGAAGATCAGGCCTAACAGGAAACAAAGGAGCAGTACTGTACAGCCGCTACTGCGATTGAGGAGGGAGGGGAGCAAAAACCCAGTATTACCAGCAAAGGAAAGATGTTCTCTTTGGTAGAGGAGTTGAGGGAGCAGGGGGAGCTGTGCAATGGTGTGTGATGGGGAGAGATGTTTTATTAATAGGATACCCCAATATGCTTCAAGGTATCTCATCTGCCAGTCAGCCGAGCTGCTCCCTGAACCCAAGGAAACCTGACATGACGCATGTCCCCACAGTCCTTCAGGCTGTCCTTCCTCTGTGCTAGGGGGAGCAGCCCCAGGCTTTGCAGGTCAAAATTGGCAAACAAAGAGCTCAGTCCTGGCCTCATTTCTTATTTTGCCCCGAGATGCTCCCAGCTCTTGATGCATCGTGGGGACCATGCAGAGGACAGGCTGCACCCCTGTGGCCACTGGCAGCCTTCTCCTCTCCAATCAAGCTGATAAGAGAGCTAATTGTAAGAATGGCTCACAGGTGCCTTGGCCGGCACTCCTGCCAGCCTCATGGATGCAATAATGGGTCTTTGTGCAGCGTGGGCCATTACTAACAAGGATAACTAAATCATTCATTTCGTTAACAACGGGCTTTGGCAGATAATTGTGCAAGAGGCAATTATCAGCAATGCATGTTCCAGGAAGGAGCGTGGTCGCTGATTTTCCACAGAGCCGCCAGGAGAAATATGAGACAAGGTTGAAACCACCACTGGGTCCTCAACCCCAGGATAGCCACTCTTTAAAGCCTGTGGCTTTATGGCTTTATGGTCAGAACTGGAGATAGAGAGAGAGAGACAGAGAGAGAGAGAGAGACAGAGAGAGAACGAGTTTGCTTCTTGCACAAAGATTCCCTAGGAGACCTTGACTTTTCTCTCCTATTTAATGGAATGAGGCTCCAAATTTCATCATCCTCCATCTCTACCTCACCATAGATTTGGTCTTCATGGCCCCACCACAGCAATCTTCCTAAAACACTAATTTTTACCATGTTAGGAGATGGAAAAAAAAATTCATTGTCTATAGCTTTCAAGTTCAGCTCAGGCTAGTGCCAAGATCCTTCTGAAAGCATGGACAGATGAAGAGGTAAACAAAAGGTGCTATATGCATACAATGGACTATTAGTTGTAGAAAAGAATGAAGTACTGATATAGGCTACAACATGGAGGAACTGTAAGACATTAAATGAAAGAAGTCACACGCACAAGACAACATATTGCATGACTCCATTTCCATGAAATGTCCAGAATGGGAAAATCTATAGACACAAAAAGATGGGTAGTTGCCAGGGCCCAGAGGGCAGAAGGAAGGGAATTAGGAGTGATTGCCAATGGGTATGAGGTTTTCTTGAGGTGATAAAAATGTTCTGGAATGAGATAATGATGATAGTCATATAACTCTGTTAATATACTAAAACCACTGAATTGTACAATTTAAACAGGTGAATTTTACAGTATGTGAATTTTAAAAAAATCTTTTCTGAACTCAAGGCAGAGGGTCAGGTGGTGCCTGCCAAGTACGGGACTTGTGGGGACAGGGGCAGTTTTCGCTGGCACTAGACCGTTGGCACGGCCCTGGGAACAGGGCTAAATAGTCTCCACTGAGGTTTGTGCCATGCTCCCTTCAAGGAGTTCTTTGGGCCCGTTCACAAAACCAGTGCAAGATGCAAGTTAGCATGAAAAAAAAGTGCCTGATCTTTCTAACATTCCTCCTATTGGTTAGATGATCTAATTAGCTCCAAATTCTGAACAACCCTTCCCTCTATCCCTGTTCTAATTTGCAAAGGAAGGTTCTGAGGCATTCCAGAGTATTGCAGTGTGGAATAGCAGCTTTTCTCTAAGAGCAGGACCTCCAACATGCCCAATGAGCTGTTTGTTCATTTATGAGCAATACTCACTCCCTCATTTCCAAATCCTGTCATCCTACCTGACTAATCACTTGCCCAGAATTAATATTTTTTCAAGCATGAATTCCTATGCTCAACTTTGTAAATTGTACAGTATTGCATAAATGTTATTTGGTATTTCTGAAACTACTACTATTATTATTCTCAAGGTATATTGGATGGAAGAAGAAAGACATATGCCATCAGGAACTGTTGCTTTGAGTTACAAGGAAGAGACATTTACAAAGGAGTAAAATCTGGTTTAGTGACTGCTGTGAGTCACTGTAGATATATTTGCTATATCATTGGTCATATTTCTCCTGAGTGCCTCTTTGATTCTGCTTCTCCATCTAGAAAGTAGGGGAAAACACCTACTGGTAGAATTCTTTTTTGCTTGTTTTTTGTTTTTTTGAGACAGAGTCTCCCCGTGTCACCCGGGCTGGAGGTGCAGTGGTGTGATCTCAGCTCACTGCAGCCTTGACCTCCCAGGCTCAGGTGACCCTCCCACCTCAGCCTCCCTAATAACTGAGGCTAATTTTTTTTTTTTTTTTTTTGGAAACAGAGTTTTGCCCTGTTGCTCAGGCTGGTCTTGAACTCCTGCATTCAAGCAATATGCTGGACTCTGTCTCCCAAAGTTCTGGGATCATAGGTGTGAGCAGCCACTGTGCCTGGCCAGTAGAATTCTTAAGTGATCTTATTTCTTTATTTCATTACTGCCTTTTCACAGTCAAGAAATAGTTCTGATTAGTGTTGTCTTCTCTTCCCTATTTATTTTATTTATTCTTGTTTCAGTTTCCTGTTTCCTGAACTGAATTGGGAAGGGAAGGAAAGTCATCAATAAAGCCAATTTCCTATTTCTGAATATTTCACGAGACCAGTCTGGGAAAGGAAGAAGTTCAATGTCTTGGGGCAAAGCTTAGGCTCGTCTGTGGAGCTGGGGATCCCTGCAGCATCACCTGATGGGAAGGAAACGGGGGCAGGGATAGGAAAGGAGGATGGGCCAGAGCAATGGGGCTCCTGGACTCTGGCACCAGCTTGACGTCTCATTACACAACAAGGAAGATCATTTTTCTGGGTCTCAGTGTCTTTACCTGTGAAATGAAGTATCTAGCACAGGGTCCTGGTCTAGGTTCTCTAGGTTGCATGAGCTCCAGGCTGTCACTGTGTCATTTCATCACAGTAACGTTGTTTACTCCACATCTACTACCCAAGAGGTGGGCTTTTCAGAGCCACTGTGAATGGTAAACAAAGCAGTTAGTTACCAATAAGTGCACTCTCTCCGGAGTTAGCACAGGGGCTCGACGCTGAGATATGTTGGGGGAACTGTGGGGGAGGTAAAATGATCTCATCTTCATTGAGCTCCTCTCTGAGTAGCTCCCAGCTCCCAGTTGCTCTGGCACATTCGCCATGACACATGTCTGCTGGCCACATCCAAGGAAGGCAGGGTGGCTGGGACAGAATGCCAAAGCAGGTGGATGTGGCCTGGGGCTGCCAGGGCTTGGTCAGACTGCCTGGGGCGAAGCCAGAAAACCCAAGTCCACAGAGGTTAGGGGTTCGAGGTGGAATAATGTCACAGGATCCTTGCAATCAGGGCCTGCGTCTTCATCTTCTTGTAGTTAATGCCAGGGCTGGGCTGGGAAGAGAAGGTCTGTCCTTTGGCATTGCTGCTGAGGGCAGAGACCAGGGCATCCAATCAGAAAAGCTCTCTGGCACCACCTACTCACATTTGTGACCCACAACCTCTGCACACTCATTCTGCTTCTGCTCATAGAATCCAGATAAATTCTCTCGAGGTCTGCTGAGGATGGTCCGAGAAGTGGCATTGGTGGGACAGGGAGGGGAGGCTCTGCAGTGGGAGAATGGCCAGGTAACGTGGCAGAATGGAGAACAGCATTGTGGGGGGAGATGGGGGGCGTACACCATGAAGCAACAAACTTGGAGAATACAGAGTGATGTAGATGGGCCTAAAATCCACAGTTGGAAAGGAAAAGGTAAAAAAAAAAAAAAAAAAGTTAAATTGATAGGCTTATCAATTTAATTTTAGCATAACTTTAGCAATTGATTATGCCATATATGAAAATTAAATGTGCATGCATACAAAAGCATAATACACAGTTTGGAAGAATGCATACAATAAAAGAGATATATTAAGCACAGCAGAATGTTTACCTATGGGGTGAGGCATGGAAATGGGAATCAAAGAGAATACCTACATGCATACATATATGCATGCGTACACACATACATACACATATGAAACAAGACAAGGTCAGTTTAGCAACTTGAGGAGTGTGATTAAACCCAAACCTCTGCACTGGAGATAAAAATAGAGAGAACACTAGACTTGTGGCTGAAAATTATTTTTTGGAGTATGTGTCTAGAGTCAAATGACCTGAAAATCGAATGTGCTCACCATCACAGAGTCCTAGTGCCAACGTGTCTCACCCCTATGATGCTGCCTTTCTCCACTGATTACTCATAGGAAAGGAGAAATGCAAGAGGAATTTTGTGGTTCCTTTTGCGTGCAGCCTCCCTGCTGGGATGGCTCCCACTTAGAGTGGTCAAGTAGTGAACTGCTGAGGGGGTGTCTCC